CACACACACACACACACACACACACACTGTAAATATACATAGAAAATAAATATTCTTAATCTTTATCACAGGGCTTAGCTTCCAAGTTTTTAGGAACACGTGTTCAATTTTTATATATGTATTTTGTGAACTAGAAATTGGAAGAAATTGATTTATGAAAAAAAATAATAATTACAGTTTTAATATTGTTCCAAAATATTAGGGGGACTGGAGAGTAATGTCGTTTCGACACATTAAATATTCGTTAGTCTTAAAAACCAATTCATTTTTTTCGATCCATTTCGATTCAGCATTGAAAGGTTGTTGCTAACTGGGTTGAATTCATTATCGATTAAAAATGAAATCTTGATAACAAATATCAAATGCACCGAAGCGACATTACTTTCCGTTTCCCCTAATATATGATTTTTAAACTACATAAATATTATTTTATTCCCTGTTATGAAAATATGGGAATAAAATAAATGTAAAAACAATTTAAAAATGCAAATTTCTATTTAGATTGATCAAAAAGTGATCCCTAAAAAAGTGATGGATTACCAATCGAAATAAGTGATCATGAAGTGATAAGTAATCAAAATCTCATCACTTATCACTGCTTCGAAAATAAAATGTATCACTTAACTAGTTAAACAAAGTATCGGCTTAAAAAATTTCAAAAATAGCATATTCCACATAAATATAGATTTTATTGAAATATATTAAAAGCTACTATTTTAAATAACTCAATAGTACAATATAACTGAACACAACATCGATCACAAAAATATATATACATTGTATAGTACACGAATACATGAACACAGTAGTTAAACAGCTTAAAGAATAGTTTCTAAAACTGCAAATAAACTTCTTTATACAAGTTTCCCCGTTTTTTACTTTTTTTTATCTATTTATTTTTTATCTATTTATTTTTCATTTCATTCTTTTCATGTAAAGAAAAAAGCAACTTGAATTGAAACGTGACAATCGTAATCTTTTAAGTAAGTCTACAATGAAAAATCATTTTAGTCTAGGGGAAATATGATTTGAAAACCTTTTTTTAATATCAATTTCTTTCCAACTCCATATTTGTGCTTAAATTTTGCTTATTAATTTAAACAAATTTACTATTTCGCCAAACAATTATTTTTTGCAAAAATAAAATTTAATAGGTCACAAATCAAATATTTTTGTCTACAATGCTTGTTGCATTATTTATCGAACAAAATAAGTTCTTTTATTTTTAAAGAGCATTAATAAAATAAAAGAAACTATTCTGATAAAAGGCGTAAAAATACAAGACAACAAATAATTAAAATGCTGTTAAAATACAAGTATTAAAATGACAGATAATACTTATTATAAATAATATAAGGACAAGTGTTTAGAACATAAGTCAGCAAAGGTGATATCTATAAAATTAATTATTCAGAATAACTTATTTAGTTATTAACACAAAGGTGTAATATTTTTATGACGAAAGCTACTGAAAGCAAAGTGGAAAACACCAAAAAAAGCGAAGTTTAAAAGGCAAAGTCAAATGTTAATGTATATTAAATGATTCCACTTATGCATAATTTCAACTAATCATTTTAGTCAAAACTTAAAGAAGCTTAATGTTTAATAAAACTGCAGGTATTTTTCAAACTGTTAATTTGAAATAAATAAGTTAAACTATAATTTGAATATTGTTGAGTCCAATATTGTTGAATTTAGCGCGGATCATTAAAGTTGAAGTTAGAGAATATTTAAAAAAAAATTGTTTTAGGAAAAATCTGATATTAATAACATAATTATTACATAAATAAAAGTATTTAGACTTGAAATGACTTCAATAATAATTTTAAAAAGTAATGCAATAGATTAAATCAAAAAGAAATTTACATTTCCTTTTATTTACAACTTTTAGTAGCACGCTCATATTCCACACAATACAGTTCAAATTTGCTGTGAACTCAATAGCGTACTAAACTGAACCATACTTTCATGCAAATGAACCAAATTAATCAGAAAGTGACCACACCGTATTGTGGTACAAATTGACGCCTTATTAAGGTTTCAGAAAATTTGTACCATATTAAAATTCAAGGTAAATTTAATCAGGTTCAGTTTAACTTGCGAATAATCAGTTATAAATTTAACCTTTGTATTAGTTTCTTCAGATCCTCAAACAAGAGTTCAAATTCCACGGCAGTGTAAATACAAACAAACGTCGTGTTTGAAAAACTGTGATCATGAAAATGGATGATTTCTACTTGAGATGAACACATCATCATTTAGATGATTATAGAGCCAAAAAAGTGAGCAGGAGTGCTGCTATCCATATAAGCTTTGATGGTTCAAATTTTATTCCAGAAGAAGGACCGGTGCAGCGTTCAAAGTGTTCGGAGCAAGTTCCTTGGGTCAAAACGCCACCCATTCTGTCAGATAATTTAGTCAAGAAATCACTTGCAGTTTCACGGCAATCTTCTTGTGTATATAACACCATCAATAAACAACGTCTATATCCATCAAAGGAGCTGAACAAGAAATACATAAAAATGGCTCATTAGTATTATATGAATAAAATAAAAAAAATAACTTTGTGTTCGATTAATCATGCAAATACAGTTGTTATACATGTTACCGGCAAAGTTCGAAATCCGGCATTCTATAGAATGCCTAGGAATTGTATATAATGCCTAAAACTAGCACGCAATGTATGAAACGATTTATATTTCACACATTTCCTAGGCATTCTATAGAATGCTAAATGAGTAAGTATAAAATGCATCTCCGATTCGTTTCGTATTGTAATGAAATGTAATTCAAAATGTCATTCAAGCCTGCCATGTTGCAACAAGAAGGTTAATTTCTTATTTTTTATATGAAAAATTTGTTTCCCTTAATAAGAAAGGCATGAATTATGTTTTTTGCAACTTTCATTTTTCTTTACTCATTTTGAATATTTTTTTTTAATGGCACTCTCATCATTTTTTCAGAATAACACTTTTGTTTTTGAGAAATGCACATCATTTACATAATAATCTCATCAGGGCTATTTTTTCATGCTTTGCCTAAATAGCATTTGTCATTCTATAGAATGGCTAGGTATTATATATAATGCCTAGTGAAAGTATGTAATACTTCTCATATTTCATACTTTGCCTGAAAACATCCGGCATTATATACAATGCCTAGGAATTCTATAGAATATCGGCGTTTCATACTTTGCCGGTAACATACATACTGTAAAATAATTCAATGCGCCAACCTTTAAAATGTTTATGTAAATGTCAAAACATAATTATGCTATAAAATCTAAAAAGCTAAAATTTATCTTTGGAAATAAATTGATAGAGTAGGTAAGAAAATAAAATAATTATTTTTAGGGGAACTACATAATCAATTTATCTGAAATGTAGGATTTTCCGGCATTCAAATATGTAGTTTAACTTGATGGAAAAATGTTTATGCGTTATAGTTCACAATTAGTGTTGCTTTTATTTGTGAACTATAAAGTATAAATACTTTAATTCCCATGTTTATGGGATATTTAATGTGAATTATGTAATTAATTTGCATTAACCACGTTGATGTAATTTACATACGAATACATAACTATAATTTCAAGTACAAATTTAATATCTAAAAATAAAAATATTTTAGAGAAGTAAATAGAACTAAATCATCCGAAACAAAAATGTTATTGGAGGTTAACTATAACCGTTAACATAAAGGAAAAGAGAAAGTCTTAGAGCGAGAAATAAGAAACCACTTAGAAAAAAAAAAAATGATAGAAATATGCAGTTCTCTTTATCGTCTTCCATATTCAAATCAGAATCTTGACGTATAAAACCAAATTTATATAGAAAAGCGCGTTACCCCTCCGTTTGCAGCCCCAAAGTTCTCTACGTACTAAAGTGAGAGCTGAACTGAACATATCTTGATGTTGTGATGAATGATGAATTGACAATATGATGTTATAATACATCCAATATCTTTATGCAAAATACAATGAGTGGCCAAATTATTATGACCACCTCAGAGCTTTATGAATCAGCAAAACGGCTGCACCTGTGAAGTGTGATAGAGCAGCAGTTGTTAATGTGTACAAAGAATGGACAATCAAGCAAAAAACCGGATCTCAACGTCAGACTTGCGGTCGTCACAGGGTACTGAATGCTCGATCAGAGAGAAGGCTGGCCAGGGTAGTGCAGCGCAACAGGAGGGCAACAGTGCGACAAATTGCAAGTGATCTTAATCAAGGAGCAACTATGAACGTCTCTGAACGTACTGTTCGACGCACATTGCGCCGTATAGGGTATGGAAGCAGACCACTGAAGGGGTGGTCATAATAATTTGGCCACTCAGTGTATCTTTAAAAAGTTATGAACAAATAATAAGCTTTAGCACTTACAGGACAATCCTAATAGCTCCATTTGAATTGCTGATTTATATTTGATCCACTGTTGTAGACAAACAAAATACTGGGACAACTGATTTATCATTAAATAAATTTAATAACTATTTTTAATAAGATAGAAATATACTTTAGTTATACGGGTCACAAACAGTATTAGTTTTGGCGTAACTACCACTACAATTTTTAAACATCAATTCAGTAGTATATAAAAGATGCTGACTCGATCAAGTTTAAGGTATCTTATGATTGAAGAAGTCAATGTCAATCTCTACTCTCTTCACATAGTTTTTTAAGAGAATAAGAAGTAGAAATTAATGGATACCGATAGAATGTGAAAGAGACTTTAAAATATGTTTCAATAAATTTATCAAAAGCAAGTTCGGCGAATCTTTGGGAAAATGACAACTGATCGTATAAACCTAACCAAATGTAACATATTTGTTTTCTTCAAAGGTCCTTAAATTGTTTTTTTATTTGTTTGTGATTCAAAATAAATTAAATGAACAAATAAATTACGAAAATACAAGAGTTTAGGATGCTCAGTAGCTGTAACTAAGTATATACTGAAGCACAGGGATTGCGTTTACAGTACAGGGGTGATTGTGAGCCCAAGTCAAAAATTTCTGGAAACTTCTGTGATCAATGATTTCTTGAAACGCCTGGATCTTCGATCGCCGGAAATTTCCGGATCACTGTTAGTGAAAATTCCGGAAATCCGGATTTTTTCCAGAGCACAATCAGCCCTGGTTTACAGCTATGCTCACAAGGGGGTACTAAGCCATGAAGTTTCATGTTCCTAAAGTGCTTTTAAAGAAAAATTTTTGGTAGAAAGCATCGACAGGCACCAACAAATCTTAACAATCGACAAAATAACTGTGATTTAAACCATTTAGCTCAAACCTGCAGCCCTGACACTTGTGTTAAGAAATGGCACGATAATGCTGTTTTTAAAATCTACATTAAAAATTGAATAGATAATGTTTTAACTGTGTATTTACCAACACTGAAGGTGCGTTTTGTCTTCATATTCCACAAGAATTATGTCTCGTTGGTTTCTCTCGTATTTTTCTTTACAATGCTCAAGACCACTTGAAATATTTCTCAAGCAAGGAATGCTTTGTAAAAAACCTAATGAATAGAAATTTAATGTTTAATACAAACATTGCAAAGATGAAATTTTTGGAAAAAGATAAAATTTTTATAACATGCCAAAAACCATAAAATCACTTATAATTAAATGGGTATCTTGTCTGCGTCAGTATCATGTTTTTTATTAGGTTAGCACGGAATTCCGAGTTAGCTAACAAAAACAATCCAGATTGTTTTAGTTATTTTAATACGTTACAAGTTATGTAATGTAATGTAGGTAGTAGTAAAGTACAATGCGCCAAAAATGTATTTTTTCAAATAAACAAATTTTGCTTTTTGTCAAATAAATTTACACGCTTTAGAATTATATAAGAAATTGTATGCCTTACAATTTAAAATTGTTTCGATCATAATTAAATAAAATAATAAAAATAGAATGACAAGAAGCATTATCCTGACAAAATTATCATAATTGGAGTTGAATTTTTCAACAACGATGTGTGGGTATGGTGTCTCATCTAAACTACCTGGTTCATAATAAAAGCATTGCAGCTGAATGCTTCTAAGCATGTCAGCTCTATACCAGCCTCCTAGATGAACACTAAGATATCTGCTCATTGTCTCTTGCATAAGGCTATCAGGTGATCATAATATAATGCCCACTCATGATCAATATTTTTTTAAATTTTATTTCTAATGAGCTGCACAATCGGTCTTGCCGATAACTCCCAGACAGAGAAAACATCAATTCCAACATGATCAGTATGTTGCTGTATTTCTAGATTAGAGGGTCATTTTAGAAGTGAGGCGCTAAATTCTTGTAGGATAACAAAAATTGAAAATGTATCACGAACAATAACGGGAAAATGGCCGTCCGCGCGGACGTTGGATTCGAGAAATTTGTTGTCCGCGGGGAATTTTTGACCGCCGAGGACGGGCGGTTTTTTGAGCTCTGCCAAAAACTATGAAATCACTTATAATAAAATGAGTATTTTGTCTACGTCATTATCATATTTTTTAATAGGTCATGACGGAATTTCAAGTTAGCTAACTAAAACAGATTGTTTTAGTTATTTTAATACGTTACAAATTATATATTGTAACGTAGGTTGTATTAAGTACAATGAGCCAAAAATGTATTTTGTTATGTAAACAAATTTTGTATTTTGTCAAATAAATTTAAACACTTTAGAATGATATATTAAATTGCATGACTTACAATTTAAAATTGCTTCGATTATAATTAAATAAAATAATAAAAAATTAAAAATATTTACTAAAATTTATTTTTTGCATGGAATTATCTTTGGTTAAACATATTTTATAAATGTGTGCAAAAATTCGCGTGTTCGCAATTCGCTTGAAAGATTCTTGAAACATGGAGAAATACGCTCAATTTTTTTAAAATTTTCATTTAATTTTTTCTTCTAAATTTAATAAACCCATAGCGTAAATATTGTAAAAATTAGGACTACATTAGATTCAGAATTTAGAGATGAAATTTACGTCAGACAATTAAAATAGGGAATGTTATGTTCTGAAATTTGTGAGAAAGTTAAAAATATATTAACTTCTCCAGTACACTTTCCATACTAAAGAAGCAAACGTGATTACATGAGAGACAGAATAAAACAAGATATTTACAAAACTTAAAAAAAGAAAGAAAAAGTTATAATAGGGGAGAGTCGGGTAGCCCCGCCCACTTAAGGAATATTGCTTATATTTTTGTATAATATTGAGTAATAATCAATATTTTCGTTTGTTTCTATTGTTTTACCATCTAATT